ATATATATGAATATATATATTCATATATATATTCATATATATGAATATATATGAATATATATATTCATATATATTGATATATATATCAATATATATGAATATATATTGATATATATTACTCACATCACTGATTATTTATCAGAAGTCAGTGTTTAAATATTCTGTAAAAACACAAACTCAACAATGTAGATATGAAATTATGGTGTTATTTTCTGCTTTAACAACATGCATATTTTAAAGGCTTTAGGTTGTTTTATTCTGATCAACACTTTAATGATAGAGTTCTGAGCCGTTTGTTTTATAAATCTTTATCTTTATTATAAATAAAACGGTCACAAAAGAGGAAATAATCTGATCAAATATAAGTAAAACTTAAAAACCAAACGTTGATCAATCAGTGAAGAGATAATCTCCAGTAGATAATAATAAATAAAATAAAACTGAAGGACGAACTCTCAGAAGCTGAAATGATTCTAAACATGAAAGACGTCGACGTCATCGTGAGATTTATTTATTTTAGAAACTACTTCCTGTTTATTCTTCTTCTTGTGTCCGTCCCTCAGATGTGCACCCCCAGAAACACTCCGGCCACGCCCCCTAACTTCCCGGACACCATCACCATGTTCTCTAAGCTGCGGGCATCAGACTCCGGAGGCTCCGCCTCCTCTCAGGCGGCGTCTATGGCCTGCTCCCCCCCGGCCCCCCCCCTCCTTCTGGGCCTCCTCCCCCCCGGGCCACCAGCCGGCCTGGCTGCCCCCATCCTCGCCCACGGGCCACCACATGCACCACCACCACTTCCTCCACCACCACCACCACCACCTGCAGCAGACGCCCATGTGGCCCCCCGGGGGCTCCCAGCCCAGCGGGGCCCCGCAGGCCCCCGTCGTGTCGGCGCTCCACGGCCAGAGATGAGGTGGCGCAGTGAGGAGCGGGGGGGTGTTAGGGGGGAAGGGGGGTCATGGGTGGAATGAGAGGAAGTGGAAAAAAGACTGTTTTCCTCTCTGTGTTTTCAAGTGAAGACTCAGCAGGAGACTCTTCATCACCGTCTTCATCACTAGATATACAAGCTGAGGAAGAACGGATGATGATGATGATGATGATGAGCAACATGACTCAGTCTCTGGTCTTCATCATCAGCTCAAACAGACCCAGCAGAGCGATCAATGGTTCTCAAACTCTTCTTCTCTCGTTCAGAAACCAGCAGATAAACAAACGGAGGGGTTGAGGGTGAGACGGCCTCAGATGGTCAGAGGTGATCATAGAGTTTCATCTTCAGCCATGAACCTGATCCTCGACGTCTGAGGCACAAACATTAAAACATTTTAAAGACTCACCTGGATGAGAAAGTATTCTCTCTGCTGCTCATAAACATTTTTTAAATTATTTTCCTCTGATCCAAACAAAGATGGCTGCGTCTGTGTTTTAATCTGAGCGACATCATAGAGAGGCGTAGTCATGACATCACTTCCTGTCCAGCCTCTGATCCTCTAGACGTCTAATCTATAATTCAGCTCCGACTGAAACAAAGTGAAACTACAACTTCTTTAGTGAGCAGACAAAGAAACTACAGCTCCCATGTCTGTGTCCGTTAAAGGCAGCTAGAAACAACTACTGATGAAATAATAGAAACGGTAATCAAAGAAACAATTACTCATTGGAAGCTTCTTTTAAAGAGTATCAGATGATCAGTTTACATTATACACGATAAATGTAACATTTATAAAATTAATATCTTTTCATCCAACAAAATACTTTAATCCAGATTTGTTGTTTAGCTTTTTAAAAAAATGATATTTTGTCTGAGTGAACGAGTTCTATTCACAAAGAATTTACTTTAATAAAAAGAGTCATTTACTCCGATGAAGCACTTCATTCATATTCAGGCTTTTGTTGAAGATTTGTTTCGGGCGATGACTCATAAAGTATACGGACGGACATTAAAAACCTCAAGAGAAGCTTTGAATGGAAGATAATAACATTCACGTCGGCTCTCTATTTGAATAGATTCACATTATTTTATAGTTTATATACAAAAGATTATTATATTGTTATATTTCTGACTTCCTGGATCAAAGATAAATTACATATTTTAGTTTGTTTGCAGCCGACGGAATATAATTTCATCCAGAGGTGAATATATAAAGAGTATAAAGTCTAAATATGATGGATGGGTTTGGTGGAACGGCAATAATTTGAAGAGATGTTTTTGTTATGAATCTTTTTTTTAATTTCCTTATGGAGAGGATTGATTTCCTGTTTGTTGATAATGAGGCAAGTTTTTGTAAATAAAGCCAAAAGACACATTTTAATCCGATTGCATTTGAATCTGATTTGACGGTTTAAGTTCAAAGAGAAGAGCGATGCTTCAGATCCAGACGACTCTTTTAGTTCTAAAACATCAGTTTAAAGTCACCTTCTCTCCACAAAGAGGAACCCGTTGTTCTACATCATTTATTTCTTCACTCAGACAATCAACCATTTCCTGTTTGAGGTTTTCACTATCGGAGATGAGATTATACTTTAGCATCGGGTGTTTGTTTACGTCTTTAAGGAGTTTATAGGTTCAGGGATCATAATCCATCACGGTGAACAACGTCCTCACAGAATCATCTTTAACGGCTAACTGACATAAATAAAGTCTTTATTATTTATTATCTTTATTCATCAAGTGAAACATGTCAAAACTCTAAATATAGTTTATCATGTAAAACGAGTATTTTCACAACTTTTATGATCTTTGACTTTTTAAAATGACTCGTTTATGTTTTCATTACTCTGATTACCTCCAGCGGTGTAAAGTAACTAAGTACATTAACTAAAGTACTTTACTTAAGTATTAGTATGTGACATATTGTACTTTTCACTGCACTACGTTTGTCTGACAGATTATTTGCAGATAAAGATTTTTCAGAAGATAAATCAGAATCGGCTGCAACATAAACAGAAAATAATCCAATAATTTAAAATAAGATTCCTTTTGCTTTTGATACTTTGAGTACATTTAGTTTCTAATACTTTCTGAGGTATAAATGAATGCAGACTTTGTGTCTTATCCTCACTGAAATGAATGGAAGTCAACGGTAGAAGAGGTACATTGTTCACTGTGGTGGATTACATCGCTCCTCACTG